GAAACAAGCTCCAGGCTCTGAGCCATCAGCCCAGAGCCCGACGCGGGGCTCGAACTCACGGACCGCGAGATCGTGACCTGGCTGAAGTCGGACGCTTAACCGACTGCGCCACCCAGGCGCCCCAGTGGTCTTTTATTCTTATGTGCTGCTGTCCTTTCTGTAATTTCTTTTTCTTCTAAGTTTTTTTTTTTTAATTATTTATTTTGAGAGGGAGACAGAGAGAGCACATGCACATGAGTTGGGGAGGGGTGGGTAGAGGGAGGGACAGAGAGAATCCCAAGCAGGCTCCATTCTGTCATCACGGAGCCCAGGGTGGGAAATTATGACCTGAGGCAAAACCAAGAGTCAGATGCCCAACTGACTGAACCACCCAGATACCCCCCTTTCTCTAATTTCTTAAAATTGGTATTTAGTCTCTTAAATAATTTTTAATTTTGATGGAATTTTAAGCTTGAAAGTTTAAGAACTGGCTCCCAAACTCCTCTCACCTAGATTTACTACCTCATTGCTTTATCTCTGTCTCTTTCTCCAACTTACTCCCTTATTATCTGAACCAATTGAGAATAATTTGGAAACACGCAATGTCTTTACCTCTGAAAACATCAATGTATCATTCCTAAGAAGGAAAACATTCTCTGACAAAACACTGTACAATTATTATAATTAGAAAATTTAACACTGATACGGTACTCTGGTCTAATCATTATTTTTAAGAAGGAAGGTACTGGAGTCACCACACTCTTTTGTACACCAGCTTTCATTGTGCACCACGGGTTCAAAGATAAAGTATTCTCATAGTACTATTTTGTAAGGAACCAAGTTGGTACCAAGGAGACGATGCTGTTTTGTTACCTGCTGACACGTCAATTGCTTCATAGTTTATTAAAAAGCCTTCATATGCAAGGTCAGAGTCAGCCACAAATACAAGCATTAATGCATTGGTACTGCTGGTAAGAGAGGGCGGGACTGATTTTCCACAATATCTGTGCGAAACCAAGAAGGAACACAGGTTTAAATTTTTTTTAGTATACTTGAAATGAGGGACCAAATATTAGAACATGTAAAAAATAAAATAGTATCCCCTATTAACCTGAAAAACCAAATATATTTCAGGCACAAAACATTCACAAAGTTGCTGAAGATCATCCTATTCATGATTACTTCCCTGAAATGGTTTTAAGTGTTATACTTACCTGTGTGGCTTGTCGTACATAAGAAGTTTAGTGAAATGAGATAGCAGAAGCTCTACTAAGTCACTGTATATCATATGAATTAACTTCTTAATAAAAATGTAATAAACTTACACAACAGAGGGAAACCATATACCATAAACTACAGTTTATAAACTACAGTCAACTCTATCATTGGAGGCATTATGACTTTGAGCAGATGACTCAACCTTGGCGCCTCTGTTTTCCCTTCTCTAAAATGGGGGTCATGATAGTAACTACGCCATAGAATTTCACAGAATTGTTTTCAGAATTTTGAGTTAGTATACTGTATAGAAGAGGCTTAGATCAGTGCCTAGAATAGTGAGCCCTATAGAGGTGGACTCTATTATCTTTAAACACCTGGCCTGTGCAGAGGTAAAAGATTGATTACTGAGCCATGTTAAATTTTTGCCTAATAGAACCAATGTGACTCAGAAAAACTATTCTAATAATGCTGAAAATAGAGAGTAATGCTGAAATTAATGCTAAAAGATATTCCAAGAGCTTATTTCTAGAGAAACACCTATGAGAGTGATTAGAAAATAGAAATCTCAAATCAAAGCAAATTAACCAAATGGAATCAAAGTAAATTAACCAAATGGAATCAAAGCAAATTAACCAAATGGAATGGCATGGGAAAAATATATAAAAACAAAAATAAGAGGTAGTGTTGAATATGGGAAATAGAGGAGTTAAGTTCCGAAGGAGGAAAAGAAAAATATGCATTGTTAAAGGATTTAATATCTCGATCAAAACAAAGGTAGGTGAATGAAAAATTTACATGTCTTTTTATATGCACATATTTACCAAATTTGGGCAAGATTATTACTGCTTATGTCACTCATCAAAAATTATATATTTTGCAGTGACTATGATCAAGTCTCATAAAAAAGAAGAAAAATTGTAAAATGAAAGATTAAGAGTAAGAGAAAAAATGAAGAGGGAGAAAAAACTAGGAGAAGAAATAAGTTTAAGAAAATAATGAATAAAGGGAAAATGTTTAAAATAGATGAGAAAAAATAAAATGAAATGTAAGAAAGAAGAAATAAAAAAGAAATCATCAGATCCCCATTTCCAACAAAGATGTAATAACAGGGGCTCGATATAAACTTTTACATGAAACAACTAAAAATGTGGACAAAATATATAAAGCAATGGATCTCAAGACACTGGATATCAAACAAGAAGGACAATGATTCTTCAGAGACAACAAACAAGTGAGTTTGAAAGCAAAACTGGAAATGATTACGTTGTTCCCAGGTAACTTAATATATCCTTAAAGAAAGCTCAACATATGTGGAATTTAAGAAACAAAACAAACAAGGGGTGCCTGGTTGGTTCAGTCAGTTGAGCATCTGAATATTGTTTTTGGCTAAGGTCATGATTCCAGAGTTGTGGGATCAAGCCCTGCGTTGGGTTCCACACAGAGCATGGAGCCTACTTAAGATTCTCTCTCTCTCTCTCTCTCTCTCTCTCTCTCTCTCTCTCTTTCTCTCTCCCTGTCTCTATCTCTAGCTCTATCTCTAGCTCTTTCTGCCTTCTTCCCTACTCACTCTCAGAAAGAAAGAAAGAAAGAAAGAAAGAAAGAAAGAAAGAAGCAAGCAAAGGGGGAAGAAAAGGAGTGAGGCAAACCAAGAAACACACTCTTAACTATAGGGAACAAACTGGTGGTTACCAGAGGGGAGGTGGGTGGGAGGATGGGTGAAATAGGTGATGAGTGCACTTGTGATGAGCACTGGGTGTTGTATGGAAGTGTTGAATCACTATATTGTACACCTGAAACTAATATGACACTGTATGTCACTAACTGGAATTGAAATAAATACTTAATAAAAAAATAAACCTCAAAAACACATATAGGAATATAATACTGTCCAGTACACAAAAATACAAATTTGAAAAAATATCTGGCATCTTATCAAATATTACCAGGCATGAAAAGTAAGAAAGTAGAATCCATAATGAGAAGAAAATTTTATCAATCAGAACACAGCAAGAAATGACATCGATGACTGAATTAGCAAACAAAAATATTAAAATAGTTATAACTGTATCCCAAAGATTTAAGAAGCAAGAGGAAAAAAATAATGTGTAGAGACATGGAAGATATAAAGATGGCCCAAATTGAATTTCCAGAAATGAAAACTATAATGTGTAAGATGAAAGATACACTTGGTAGGATTAATAGCATAAGAGACACTGCAGAAGAAAAGATTAGCACACTCGAATACACAGCAATGGAAGCTTTCCAAAATGAAACACCCAGAGAACAAAAACTCAAAATCTAATGAACAGAGTTCATGAATGAATTCTGGGACAATATCAACGGGCCTAAGACACCTATAACCAGAGTCCCCAAAGGGGACTAAACTAATGGCCCCCAAATTTTTCAATTTGATAAAACTACTGTATTTCAAGAAAAAGTATTTCAAGAAATAATGGCCAAAAAATTTTCAATTTGATAAAACTATAATCGCTCAGATCCTAGAAGCTCAATGACAAAAAATTATGCTAAGAAAAGCCAGACCCCCCCAAAAAAAGAATACATACAATATAATTCCATATTTATACAACTCTAGAATATGCAAGCTAATTTACAGCAATAGAAATGGTGGTGCTTTCCTAGGGGTGGGGATGAAGGATGGAAGTAAGGAATTATAATAGTCAGAAAATTATGGGAGTAATGGATGTGTATATTATCTTGATTTTTGTAATGTTTTCATGGGTATGCTTAACTTACACAAAACTTAATGGCTGAAGACTAAGGCTACAGAGTAGTAAGTAGTGATGCAGAAATGGTCATTAAGAAGCATGTTGATCTCATCTGGTTTTTATAACACAACATGATACATTTTAACATCCTTCAACACAATAGGAAAGAAAGAAAGCAGGAAACTTTTGTGTTAAGAAAAATAAATAAAAACAAAATATTCTCACCTCCCAAGAAATGTCCCAGAACCAGTGTCATAAACTTCCAAGTAGTCATTTGTGCAATTGTAATGAAACTCCAGATGAAATCTCCTGAATATCAAATGAATCAGGTAGCCAGGTTGGACTAATATATGCCAAGTACAGTTGATGCCATGAGGGTAGATATTTGGGTGGCCAGGACTTTGAATGATTCCTGTTGATTCTGTGAGAATTTTTCCACATGCTGTTGAAATGAAAACAATAATCATTATTAGAACCAGTAACCAACAAGCTACCTGAAAATTCAAACTAAAACAATTGGACCATAACCTCTTAAAAGCTGAAAAAGAAAATTGTTCCCCATATGCCACTTAAGTGAACTTAGTTCCTCCCTTATTAATGGAAATCAGTTAACTATTGATATGTACTGATTAAGAAATATATTTTTTCTTTGGCTTTGAATGTACTTTAAAATTTTTACAATGTAGATAGCTACACATCTACAGTGTAGATGAATTTTCTATAATAATTTATTTCCACTGTTTACTTTTTCTGCCAAGAGACAAAGCAGGAGAAAAAATCAGTATCTTACCTAATTCTGCAGTACTGAATTTAGCCATGAAACCATGATTTTCAGTAGAAGAACTTTTCACAAATATGACATAAAGAAAATTGTACACAGATGTTATAAATGAAGGTATGTCTGTGCCACAATATTTTTTATTTTCAGGAGAACCCAAAATGGAACTACTACCAATCTAGTAAAAAAAAAAAAAAAAAAAAAAAAAAAAAAAAAAGATATATTTAAATTTATTTTGTTAGGTATTATTTTTGAAAATTGCTTTGAAAATAATTATTTTTGAAATATTTTTATCAATGCAGTAAAAATAAATTGTAGCCACCACCAAAAAAACTCTATATCCATTAGCAGTCATTCCCTATTTCTGAACCCCAGTCTCAGATTGTCCATTCTGGACACTTCAAATAAATAAAATCACACGCTACGTGGTCTTGTGTGACTATCTTCTTTCACTCCATCTGTTTTCAAAATTCATCCATGTAACATGTGCCATTTCTTCATTCCTTTTTAATGACCTATAATATTCCATTATATGGATATACTACTTTTATTAATCCATTCATCATTTGATGGAAATTTATATTGTTTCTACTTTTTGGCTACCAAGAATAATGAGTATAGTCATTTATGTATGAATTTTTGTGCGGACATGTATTCATTTCCTTTGGATATACACCTAGAAGTGGAATTCCTGGATCAAATGATAAATGATAATTTCTGGATCAAATGTTTATTTTTTTGTGGAACTTGCAATTGTTTTCCAATGTGACTATACCATTTTATATGCTTACTAGCATTGAAAGTGTAAAAGATTCCAATTTCTCTATATCCTTGTCAACACTCATTATTTTATGACTTCATGATTATAGCCATCCCAGGGCTTGTGAAGCAGCATCTCATTATGGTTTGATTTGTATTTCCCTGAAGATTAGTGATATTGAGCACTGTTTCATATGATTATGGGGTATTTGTATATCTTCTTTGGAGAAATACATATTTAGATTATTTACCCATTTTAAAAATTAAATTGCTTTTAATTTTGATGAAGTCAAATTTTTCCATTTTTTCTTTTGTTGTGCTCTTTGTATAATATCTAAGAAGGCTTGGCCTAACCTAGGTGACAATGTTTTCTTCTAAAGTTTCATTGTTTTAGCTCCCACATATAGGTCTATGATCCATTTTTAATTAATTTCTGTGTATGGTGTAAGGAAGAGGTCTGCTCTCATAATTTTGCATGTGGATATTAAGCACCTTTTGTTGAAAATACTATTTTTTCTCACTGAAATGTTGTGGCACCCCTTTCCAGAACCATAAAGGTTGCTGGCTGTAAAGGTATGGATTTATTTCTATATTTCCAATTCTATTCTATTGTTCCATATTTTTGTCCTTACTCAACTAACATACTATCTTTATTACTGTAGCTTTGCTCCAGGTTTTGAAATTGGTCAAGTGTGAGTCTTCCAACTTGGTTCTTCTTTTCCAAAAATACTTTCTGGCATTTGCATATGAATTTTACAATCAGCTTGTGAATTTCTGCAGAACGTGTCAGCTGGGATTTTGATAGGGATTAAATGGAATCTTTAGATATATTTGGGGAGTACTACCAACTGAACAACATCAAGTCTTCTAATCCATGAACATGGGATGTCTTTCCACTTATTTAGGTCTTTAATTTCCTTCAACAATGCTTTGAGAGCACAAGTTTTACATGTCTTTTTAAAGACGTATTTCTCAATGTTTATTGTTTTTTTATACTGTTGTAAATGGCATTGTCTGCTTGGTTTCATTTTCAACTTGTTCATTGCTAGTGTATAGAAAAGCAAATGACTTTCATATTTTGCTCTTGTATCATGCAGCTTGCTGAATATGTTTGTGTGTGTGGATTCCTTCTAATAGTTTGTGTGTATGTATGTGTGAATTCCTTTTGATTTTCTATATACAAGATCATGTCACCTGTGAAAAGAGAGAGTTTTACTCCTTGCTTTTCATTTTGAATGCATTTTCACTCCTTTTAGTTGCTTAATTGCCCTAGCTAAAATTTCCAGTATAATGTTAAATAGAAGTAGTGAGAACAGACATCTTTGCCTTTTTACTGACAATAAGGGCAAAGGATTTAGTGTTTTATCATTAAATATGATGCTAGTTATGGGCTTTTTATACACGCCCATTTTGGGATTAAGGAAGTTCCCTTCTATTCCTAGTTTGTTAAGTATTTTTATCATGAAAAGATGCTGAATTTTGTCAAGCGCTTTTTTTGCATCTATTGAGGTAATCATGTGGAGAGTTTTTCCTTTATTTTAATTTACATCACTGATTTTTGAATATATACCAACCTTACATTCCTGGGGTAAATCCCACTTGGTCATGGTGTATATTCCTCCTTATATGCAGCTGAATTCAGTTAGCTAGTATTTTGTTGAGGATTTCTGCATCTATATTTATAAGAGATATTGGTCTATACAAACTAGTTTTGTTTCATATAGCTGATCTGAGGATAACATGACATAATATTTTTAATTATATTCCGCCAAATACAAATATCCAAAGTTATTTCACTCTTACCTCAATATAATCTGTATCACAGTGGGCAGAATTTCCTATTTCAAAGGCAGTGAAGTTGAGAATAACTACGTGGCTTTGGGGTTGGTAGATTGTCCATATGCAGACCCTTTCTCCTGGGTACACATTAGGATAAAAAGGTGAGCGAATGACCCCTTCTCCAGTTAATTCTCCTCCACAAGCTGTAAATATGAAAACGATAGTAGAGTTTGTTCAGAGATAAACGATTTTTGCCCCCACGCTCATTGCGAAGTTTAATTCTGCATAGAAATATAAAGGAATGCGATCTTACTATTAGAATTTTTTCCTTGCCACTAAAGGACATAAAAATGACTACATTATTTCAAGAAATTAAAATGTTACAGTCAGACAAATTAGAGACTTAAAAATTTTCTTACCAACTTGATAAACAGCTCTGAAACTAGCTCTCACAACTGAAACATCTACTTTAAGCCTGATCCAGATACTATTAGTAATGGATTTAATCTGAGAGAGAGTTTCATTGCCACAGGCTTTTCCAAGCAAGGTTTGATCATCTCGAACCTAAAGAGAAAAATAAAACAGATCTGTAACCCTAATCAACAAAATTACCTTGGCAATGGTGGATTATTTGGAGATGAAAAAATGGCACTTTCAAAATAAGTTATAATCTAACTTGGGTTACATATTTATATTATTTTTGAAAGTAATCAATGGGTCATTTTTTAGCACCATGCAATAACATTAAATATTGATAATATCTTAAACCAAAAACAAAGCCAAAAGCATGTAAATATTTAAACTGTTCTCCTAATAATTTCTACAATGTCAAAAGGGATATAAATGTACAACTTCTGATTATTTAGAAAACAACAAAATGTGAGAATATGATATACCAAAATATGCGAGTGTCAGCCACATTTGTAATTAAAGTAAGTCAAAGACTAAACTGCTTTTATTAATGAAAGAAAGAGACACAAATGTAGATTACAGAAAGAAGATTAAAGGAGTCAACTTAAAAAACTGGAAACAGGTATTAAAATGAGGGATAATAAAGTAAAAGTGAAACCTAATAAATAAAATACAAAAGAAAATTGAATTCAAGAATACATTCAAGAACTGTATTGGGGAGGTAGTTTGGGGGATGGGGATATTTAAGACATATCTTTGTCAATAAAGATAAAAGAAAATAAAGAAAAAATAAATAAACACAAATACACAAATCCAAAATGAGAAAGATGATACAAATACACAGATACTGATACATTCATTTCCTATGAATAATAATTCTTTGTAAAACTCTATGCTAATACAGTTGAATGTTTGAAATAATTATTTACAGAAAAAATAGAAATTACTAAAATTATCTCAAGGAGAAGGAAAATAAAATCTGAGTAGACAATAAACCATGGATTAAATTGAAAACATTATCAAATAGCTATGTCCCACCGCCCCCCAAAAAAACTTCCAGGAGATGCTCTACCTTGTCAATTATTTCAAGCTTTTAAGGAGCAGATAATTGTCACATATAATTTGTTCTAAGGTACCCTCACATATGGAACAATCTCCAACTAATTGCTCTCAGAACCATCTTACTAAATTCCAACAGAGAATAATACAAATGAAACTATGCATTGATCTCACCTATTTACACCGATATAAAAATCTTAAACGCAATTCTAGAAAAACAAATTTGCTTCATCGTTAGGCTTATAAACCAGTCATATGTGGGAATTTAAAGAATGCATGGATTATGTGAAATTACAAGTTATAAATTAAGCTCATCAATGGATCCAGTAAGATAAACCATGTTTCCATAGATGTAAAAAAAAAAGGAAGGAAGGAAGGAAGGAAGGAAGGAAGGAAGAAAGAAAAGAAAACAAAAGAAAAGAAAACAAAAGAAAAGAAAAGAAAAGAAAAGAAAAGAAAAGTCAGCATTCCTGTTTATTAAAAGCAAAACTCTTAGAAAGTTAGGAGGAAAAGAAAATTTCCTTCATACAATAAAGACCACCCGTTGTAAATCAATAGTCAGTGTCTTATATTGGCCATAAGCACAGTCTGTGGAGTCATACAGACCAGGCCAAAGCCTCTGCACTCTTGAGCAATCTACTAAATCTAAGCCCAACTCACGGCTTGTTCAAGCAAATACATGAAACACTAGGATAAATTCCTTAGCAAAATGCCTAGTAATAAAAAATGTGAACTGAAGAACAGCTATTGCTATTGTTGACATTTTTAGAGGTGAAACAATAGAGGGTCCTCACAAAACCAGGAATTGTTCTACGAATATAGATACTACTCCTGTTACGTAGAATTCTTTTGAGAGGTCTAGCCAATCCAAATATTAATTCATTTCCTCAACTAACATGATCAAGGCATCAGAAAGTGCCAGGCCCTGTGCAGGTGACGGTGCTGTGAAGGACAGTCAGCACGCTCAAGGATTCTAGAATAAGCAAGCACGTTTTTCTAAGAGCATTAGTGTCATGTTTGGGAAAGTACAGGAGGCTATATTACTACTTAACACGACGGTTCTCGATAGGTAGTGAGACATTTGAGAAATCTGTGAAGGCATTTTTTTGTTTTTGTTTTAATCAATCAACACAATAGTGGTAAGGCATTATTGCATTTAGTGGCTGAGGACCAAAGACACTAAACACCCTGAAAAGTGAGAGACAGACACACCCCAAAATTCTATTTCCTATGTGAACTTCACGTAGTGGCAGTTCTGTTACTAAGTATAAAACCTAGCTCTATTTTATATACTAAACCCAAAATATTTTTGCCCAATTTTAATACACACTGAATTTTCCAAGATTATAAGTTTTGTTTTGTTTTCCTGGAAATATGACAAGAGTTGGTAGCCATTTCAGAAGATCTGTCACCAACCTACACAGCCACGTCAGCCTGGGTTTGTACGGTGGCATTCACAGCGATTCAAAGAGAACATTTAAGGTTTCATTTTGTCTTCTAGTGCAGCTTGCCCAGGCTTTTAACTTAATGACATAAGGAAATATATATTTTACACTATTTCTCCTAAATCCTATACTTCCAACTTTATTTTTTTATATATATGTGTATTCAGGCTATATCATCTATGATTTTCATTTCAGAATAAAGAAACGGGTAATATAAAAAGGCCTTAAAGGAAACTGACTTTACCCTAAAACCCTGAACTCAAACAGGGCATCATAGAATATTTGTCAGTGGAAATAACCTTTAAATTGAGATTTGAAGGATTCCCAGGCTGAGGAAAATGGGCAATAAAGGGAAGATTTTAAAAGTCTGATACTCAAAGCGGAGGGCGAGGGGAGGGATATGGTTGCTCCCATCCATAACTGGTGAAAGCATATATAAATTTCTGGAAAATAATTCGACTATGTATCAGGAGGAGTCTTCAAAACGTTCATGTGGGACTCAGTAACTTCACTCCTTAACATCTATCATTGGGAAATCATTCGAGATACAGGCAAAGACACACAAGGATTCCCATTGAAGTTGCTCTATAATTAGAATATTGAAAATACTCCCAGTGTCTAATAATAGGAGGGTGATTAAATAAATTATGGAACAGCTGTATGATAGAATCTTACACAGATGTTAAAAATCACATCCCTCTCCACTGACTCATAACCAAACCAATCTGTTTCTATGAGCTGTAACATGAATTTTGCATATTGTCTTAAACTTATGCTAAATATCTCTCTAACCAAACAGATCTCTGGGGGAGGAGATAACGTCTGTCATGCCTTTAGCATCTAACATAGACCTTTGCAAACAGGTATTTGACAAACGTTTGTTGATTCATTAATTTTAAGGTGTGGTATGATGGTTCAATTTTTGTTAGAGACACAAACATACTGGCTCTTGGAAACCAAGAAGCATGAAACACAGAGTAATATATCACCCTCCTCTCTGATCCTCTGGGACTCCATGTTCCTCTGTTCAGACTGAAGTCTCTCTTTTGCATTTTGCCTGTTAGAAGATGACAAGAAGGGAGAAAAACGGCCAAATAGCATCAGAGCAAGCTAAAGTGGGCCATTCCCCTGGGACCTTGCTAATGAAATTCAAGGATTTTAGCAAGGAGAAAGGCAGCTGCAGTCCAAGCGTTTTAAGAGGAACTTATAGGGCTCAAGGGCCCTAAACCTCGAAGGCACAATTGATTTGGGCTGCATTTCTCTCTCTCTGTGGAAATGAAACTTTATTAATTCTGAATGGCGGTATTCTCTGTGGATCCTGGACATGACAGTATCTTAACCACAAATCCTTTGAAAGAGACAAATAAAGTTCATCAAATGTTCTAAAGTGATCCCCAATATTTGTTGCAGCCCATTCTGCATTCAATATTATAGGACTTGTGAATTTGCATGCCACCACCCCCCTACAAAAATACACTCTTGTCTTTGTGCTTAGGCACCAGGATAGACTGTATTCTTTTTCCTAAATATTTATATTCCTCCCTGTAAGGGGATCTAACATCTCTGCTCATTGCCATGTAACTTACAGCACCTTCCCATGGAGAATTAATACTTATTCTTTCTATTGACTGGGCTTGGCCTTAGGGTTTGCTTTGCCCAGCATAACATGAGCAGAAGTGATAATGCCATCTATCTCCAAGCAGAAGCTTTGGGAGTAACTGAAGGATTCAACCATCTTTTGCTTTCCTTTATTATTTTTTTTAATGTTTATTTATTTATTTTTGAGAAAGAGAGAGAGAGCACATGAGAGGGAAGGGGCAGAGAGAGAGAATCTCGAGCAGGCTCCGTGCCACCAGTGCAGAGTCTGATGCAGGTCTCGAACTCATGAACCGTGAGATCATGATCTAAGCTGAAATCAAGAGTCAAGACGTTTAACCGACTGAGCCACCCACGTGCCCCTTTTTCTTTCTTTTCTTACGAGATCAAGAACCTGGGTCCCAGGGACAAACGGAACAGAGTGAACTGCCTGGCAACAGAACTGTCACTGACCCAAAACCAACATGTTTATGTGGGCAAACAATAAATGTATGCTGTTGTAAATCACAGAAATTTTTGGTTTGTTATTGTTTTTGACTTGTATTGATTGCTATAGACAGTTTGTTATTGCAGTATAACGTACGGAAAAGTGATATGTATTTAAATCTGGATTATATTGGGGCGCCTGAGTGACTTAGTCGGTTAAGCATTGGACTTCGACTCGGATCATGATCTCACAGTTCATGAGTTCAAGCCCTGTTTCAGGCTCTGCACCGGTGGTGCAGAGCCTGCTTGGGATTCTCTCTTTCTCTCGCTCCACCCCTCCCCTGCTTGTGCTCTCTCTCTCTCTCTCAAAAAAATAAACTTAAAAAAAAACTGGTTTATGTTAAGAGTTTTTTCTGAACAAGTCAGGTAAAACCCTGAGCCATCAGAACAAATTCATTCTTTCCAGTGGATCACATTTGTAAAGAAATGGCTAGGGCCAATTCAAAATTCCAGTGTTCTGTGGACCTGGCCCAGGTTTCTCTTTGATTGCCTTACTTATCCAGCTCAGACTGACTGTTTCAGGCCCAGAGACACAGTGTATAACCCATGACCCATGATCTCTAGCCT